ACAGCAACGACTGTGTCAACGGCCAGGATATAGCGCCATCATGTTCGTTGATGATGTCTGACTGTGTAGAGTCATCAGGTCTAGCAGAGACGGGCACGCGCGTCAAGAGAGTCTCAACTGACTGAGCAATAAGTCAGATCGTTGGCTTCTAAATTTTAATTTGGTCAAATTTGCGGTCCTAAGACGGCACAAGAATTACCAATAAGGAGGATGATCCCTTTAAATACGTCTTTGGCGGGCAGCCCCTTTCAAATTTCGAGGTGCAGAAAGACCTCGGCGTCCTGGTGATCTCCTCCTTTAAACAATCGTCAAGGCGCGATCGGGGTGTCATTTGCGCTGAGGCGAGGATTTGGGCAGATCTATAAGGAACTGTTCGGAAAAGTCTACGGGACATTCATTCGGTCTCACTTAGAGTATGCCGTCCAGGCCAGGCGGCCGTGGTTTAAGAAGGATTATCTGTAGTTAGAAAGAATACGGACGATGGCTACGAAGATGGTCAAGAATCATGATCAGCCTTACCAATCCAGAGTGGTTGAACTAAATCTGCTTCCACTCAAGTACAGGCAACTGAGCGGCGATCTCATTCAAACCTACCACATTGTCGGGGCCGTGCGTACGCCCTAGATTTTGAGGACATCTTCGAATTGACTGCGACTGGCCGTCTGCATAGTCATGCCCCTAAACTGCGGACGAATTTAGTCCATGAGGATGTCTGACATAACGCCTTCTCGCAGGACGTCATTTGGGCTTGGAACAGACCTCCTGACGAGGTTGTTCTTTCTGAAACGGACAGACTAGGCGCTCATTTGCTGAGGGACTCCTGCACATATGATCACAAATGTCTCAGTGGCGGCAGTCTGCACCTGGCTCATACACACCGACAACTCTTGAATCCTCAGAATTTCCTATGGAACAAATGATTTTATTGCTGTTTGTCGGTGTGAATAGGGAGCTCGAGGGCAGAAGCCTCGTCCCCTTAACAAAATGACTTACAGTTCTGTTGAGCCAAATGCAGAAAGAACAATCGAGCCTGAATTTATTTGTTCCTAGCAACGAGGCCCGTAGTCTTAGTCCGGAAATATATGCAGTTAAGGTTATCACCATGTATAAAAAGTCGAATTTCTAGCTGAAGCCAAAACTGGACTCGTTCTTATAACGATGAGGTTTTTTCAGCTCGACTATCCTCCAGCAGAACTCCTGAGAGTCGCGAGACTGAAGGGTGGCAAGCAAAATCGCACTCTCTTCAAAGGGGAAAGTTTCTTAGAAGAATATGACACTTCACTATAGTCGACCGGGGATACTAAAGACGATGGCAGTTACACCGCAAATGTAGACACTACCGTGAAACAAGTGGCTAGGAGTGACAGCAGAAATAGGTCGGTAATGTCCAATATTCTCACCGAAGAAGCTAAAGTTAATGAAAGCGTTCATGAAACGCGACAGGCATGCGCAAATGACAGCAGATAGGACGCAGTTAGGTCGCTAACAATGACAGCCACAAGCAAAAATTCGGCTTGCGCAATATCGAGGTGCTAATAGAAAATGCACAACGCGTTGCATCCAAACTTAGTGAATTAAACATTTGTCATACCGAACTGTCTCTGTATGTGGTAGCAGTAACCGAAATATGGCTCTGCAAGAATACTGATGATGGCAAAATAGCGATGTTCACAACCAAACATATCTGAAGGATAGGGAAAACCATAAGAATGGCGAAATAAATCTTGGTAATGGCAGGAAAGATTACTAAGTTTGCGCGTAGCACGAAAGCTATTTGACAGACCGTCAAGGTTACCGACGCCGCATGCCTTGATGCACTCACTTTCACTGAGGAACGAATTAAACGCAAGCATAATTTCGTACTGCGAAACATTCCGAGCCACTTATCTGCTATGGAGGGAGCGCATGTGTTCCTACAAAGTTGTGGCTTGAGTTTTAGTGTCGCACAAGCTAAGCGACTTCGCTCGCTTAGTCGTAATGCCCCGATACTAGTTACCCCTATCTCCATGATAGAAGTCGATTTTATCTTGTCGAGTAGGGAGATGACTAGAGACTTCTGCCGTAAATGGCGCTGTTCCGTTTCGCCAGACCTCACACCCCTGCAGCGAACACTGAATAAACTGAAATCGGCAAAAACCAACACCAAGATAATGACACCTACTGTCAGTCTGAATATGTCCTCTACAACACCACCTGCGGCATCTGCAAGTCACGGCATAGTCAATTCCGTAGGGAGTTCGACTACTTTTAATGCTGACCTCTTTAAACACACCACCACGCCTGGTATAAACACGCCTCTATCGACTCCCTCAGCAACCCCTAGTAGGCCTTAGCATGTGCCTAAGTCAAAGGCAAATCCAATTGCTGTCTCAGCCACTCGGACACCCAATAAATCCAGCACCAGTATAAAATGTTTTCTTCCACAATCGGCGAACAGTGCCTCAGATACCCCGACTCAAAACGTAGCGGGTTCGCAACTGCCCCCCAGCCCTCATATCGAGGCAGTTAGGCCGAATATGCCGATTTTCCCACCGTTTAATAGACCTCTTGTTCCAATGGAAACA